CACCGCCCCCTAACAACTCCCTCTCCCCCTCACCCCGCCGCCTCGCATTCGCACCTCCGGAAAGACTCCGGCGCCGCCCCTCATCTCGCCACGCTGCTGCTGTGCTGCAAGTGCACGTGCACTGGGCTGGACACGTGTCGAGGCCCGGGTCGGGGGCACCGGCGGCACGGTCAAGCAGTGCGATGCCCTGCCATGGGTTCCCATCCCGGTCCCCACCGAGCTTAACAGGAGGACCACTCGGCCAAAACCATTCCGATAATATTTCGATTATAATCAAGGTGCAGCCTATCATACCAGATTGTTTAAATTTGTGGTTTATTGAAAGAAAAGTACATTTGAAAGGCAAAAATTGTAGTACATAACCAGGTCAGGTGCGCCGCCGGATGGCTACGATAATGTTTTACGCTCCACGCGCCTGCTCGGAGGGAGTTAGGCCACCCATCCTACACTTCCGGCAGATATTTTTCTCATACTACGCAAGAAGCCTCGCAGGGGTCCCTCTGAATACCGACATCGGAACATGAATGGCACGCTTGCGAAGAAACAAGGACAACAAAATCAAAGCAAATGGCTGTGTAGAAAGAATTTGGTGAGGAGACACAATTTTAATCCTTTTCTGAAAAATTGCAGCGTGACATGATAGACATCTTCGTCTAATTCATTCTTTTGGCACTAGAATGCTGGTTAGTATACAGAATAGGGCTACAGTCATTTCTGTTGCTGTAGCAGGTGGCCGAAGAGGTTGGCTCATGCTGTTTCATTCATTTTATTTCATAAAAGATTAACCTAATTAATCGTAGTATTTTGTATTTTTTGTTTTAATCCTTGGGCTTGGTGTTAAGTTTCATTTCATCAGTAGAATCATTAGATGCATATGCTTGGATATATGTTATTAACACGTTCTTTTAATGTCCACTGCTTAAATCAGTATTGTGTCTTCTGCAGTTTTCTAAATGGATCAAGAACGCACATTGCTGATTGTTGCTGTTGGTGTAGCAGTTGCTGTAGGATGTTTTGTACTGTGGGGTCCCAGTACTTTTCGATCAAAAAGAAAAAAGGGTATGTTATTACATCGTGGTCTAATTAACACCCCCTTGTACTGTGTTGAGCAATGCCAAATATTACTATATATTTATTTCCAGGGCACGTTGTTGGTTTGTTAAACCTTGGTCATACATGTTTTTTGAACACTCTTCTTCAAGCATTAGCATCATGTCCAAATGTAATGGATTGGCTGATGCAACATAAAGACAATAAGGATGGTAGTCTTGTGTCGGCTCTGCAGAAAGTTCTTCATGGTACCGCACTTTTCCTAATTAAACTTGCGCTTTAGATATTGCCTTTTATCATAATATTTTATTATTATTTTCTTGCTCCAGTGTTAAATGGTGAACATGATTCGGAGATTTGCGACCCGTATGCTCCTACTGAGGTAATTTCAGCCCTAGTTAGACACAACTGGGTAATTTCTCCAGGAGAGCAAGATGCTCATGAATTGATTCATGTGATCCTAGAAACATTAGAAGACGAAATGACATCTTCATCAGCAAAGGTACATATTTTATTTTATCTGTTTTGTTTGCATTACTTAACAAACAACAAATTTGATCAGATAAATGCTGAATTTTTTTGCAGAATGGTAGTTTGTCGGATATTCTCTTGCCTGAAACAGGTGCACAGGGGGATGATGTGAAAGGTCCATGTATAGTCAGTAAAAGTGTTCAAAATGGAGATGTGTAAGTCTTCTTATTTTAGTGACAATATGGCCTATTGCAGATTTTTTCATTATAATCTTTTGTGGTCTGCTTTGTTTTGTTGCTCCAATTTGTTTTGTTTTTCTCAAATTTGTTTTTCACATGAAGAATTTATTTTGTATTTGTAGAAAATGTGATGGAGATCAGCATTTATCCTCTCCAATATCTCGGTATCGTCCAATCAGGCGCATACGTATGCAAGAAAATGATATCACCTCTTCCTTGCCACAGTCGGTGGATAATTTACCCATCCAGACACAACAAAATCCTTCCCCCTTTCGAGGCACCTTAACTAGTCAGCTAAAATGCACAGAATGTGGATTCAAGGTTTGTCTCCTTTTTTGCATTTTTGCACTCCAGGGTTGTTGTCTTTTTTCTATTGTGGTGTTCTTTATAATTTTTGTTGCAGTCTGCTCTTAGATTTGACAAATTTGATACTTTGTCTCTTCCTCTTCCAACACCTGCAAAAAGGCAGCATACATTGCAAACGCTGTTAAATAACTTTGTGAGCACTGAAATTGTAAAAGATGTGTCATGTAGTAATTGCAGTAAAGAGCAGGAGAAACCTGTTTTAACCACTGCTATGAAAACATTAAATTTTGGGAAGGTATAAAAAAAAATAGCCTTTTTTGTAATTCTTAATAGCCTCTGTGTTTGTGCACCTATAATGCAATAATAAGTAATAATGCATAATAAGTTAATTTGTCATCTATTTCTTTTTTAGCTTCCCAAATGCTTATGTTTCCATATAGTTCGTACCACTTGGAATGCAGATGGTTCCCCATGGAAAAGAGAAGACTTTGTAGACTTCCCTGAGTTCCTAATCATGGACAATTATACCCACAGTCAGGTTCAACGTAATGCTAGGGTAATTATACATCCCTTCTCTTTTAAAGAAAATCTGATGTCTGTGTTTGGATATATGTGTAATGTCTTTTTTCTTCTTCAAAAAACAGAAAAAGATGAAAAACTTAGAAAATGGAGATAATTTTAAGGAGGTAAGTTTCTACTCAATTGAATACTAACTTAAAAATCCCTGTGTAATTTTAATATTTTTTTTGTGTTGCACCTCAGATTTTAAGAGAAACAGAAGTCAATGGTAATATTAGCTCTACAACATCACAAAAGCAGGCAGAATCTCCATCCCCATCAAAGTAAATAAATAAAGACTCAGCACAATATCAAAGAATGTTAAACCAGGATGACCCTCTTAGTTTAACTCTTTGCATCTTGCTTTCTGTTTTTCTCATTCTAGTGCAAAACACATGTATAGACTAAAAGCTGTGGTTGTGCATACTGGCGATATCAACTCAGGACACTTTATAACTTATCGCAAGGGACCTATCAAATCACTCATCAGGCATAGGTAAGTAAGAAATTCTACGTTACTAAGTTTGTATCTAATGAACAATCCTCCCATTGTACTGATAGGTAATATTGGTGTAACCAGTATTGCATTGTGGAAGTAGTGTTGAATCTGTAATCTGTAGAGCTTTTTCTTTTTAAGAAATCTTGAAAGTATTTTTTAATATTTTTTTTGTAGTTTCTAAGAGCCTAGTAGCATTGGGTTCTTGACAGTTTCTTGTACACCTACCTGCCTTTCCTTTGAGTTTATGAAGGAGCAAAAACAAAAACTCATTTCATTACAACGTTAAGATTTACTTTCAAATGTACAGTTAGACAATATTAAGCTTGTAAATTTGCAGCAAAGCTGCAAACTAAAAAAGTTAGGCTTCTCAAAGGTAATAGTTACTGGCTGGGTGTTTTTCAGGCTGTTGAATGTGGAGTCGAAAGTGGAACATCCTGAAAGCAGAGAGAGTGCAAGGTATCTGTCAATTTGCTTTTGTTATGCACGGTCCCCAATTGGTACTTTAAAGGCTTTGTAAGATTTTGTAGATTATTATAAGTAGTTTTGAAGGGTAAAATTAATCTCTGGTTGTACTACTTATTATTTTTTTAACATTTACTTTAGTGAAGGTGGTAAAATGGTAGGAGTGTAAAAGAATACTTTTGCTTTTGTGTTGCAGGTGGTTCTACACATCAGACATGCTTGTGAGACGGGCAACCCTCTGTGATGCTTTGCTCTCCAACGCATACATGCTGTTTTATGAAAAACATGTTATCCCTGTTATTTGATGTACTGCTTTTCTGTTGCCCCTTATGTGAATTACGAGTGACTAGTTATTGAGAACAACTTTTGAGTCATTCCAGTCTATTGTGTGTTCCTATTGTTCAATAATTGTTGTCAAATTTTCTAAAATCAGAGCTTCCAATGCGACATGGTTTTCGTAATTATATTATATATTGTGAGTAAGGGAGACTTTTAATTTACAGTTACCCATTATCAGATCCACCGTGTACCGTTCTTTCTAGAAATGATGCTTTCAATAATATATACCAGAGGAGACATTTGTGGTGGCGTGGCCCATCAACCTCATTTTGTAGTTTTGCTTTACATGTAGATGTGTGGGTTAGTTTGCCTAACTATCACCATGCTTTGTTATAGGAAGATGCGTAGGTCTCATGTAGAATCGCAGCTGTCACCAATTATGGCTTACCATGGCCCCGAGCGAGTAGGCAACCCGTCCACACGCATGCATGCGGCATTGCGGCATAGTATGACTACACCAGTAGTTAGTCTAGTAGAATAACTAGTAACCAGTCCAGTTGAGCGACCCGGTACAATACAAGCACCAGTTGCACAGTGCAGTATAGGTGCATGCTCAGTGAGGTGCGATGGCACAAAGTCTGCAGGTACTCTGTAGGTGCTAGTTCCGGCGGAGCAGCCCTACGGCCGCCGCCCGCCCGCCCGTCCCGTCCCGCCCCGCTCCGTGCAGCAGAGCGAGTATGTGGTGGTGCATAAGCAAGTCGCCGACCAATTAGAGAAGTCTGCGAAGTCCGGGGCCGGAGTCCGCGCTAGCAGAGCCGGGCTATGGCTCATGCCTGGCGCCGAGCGGCCGAGCGGAGAGTGACTGTGCCTGCGCGGTCTGGCCTGCACTCGCTGGGTCGGGCTGGGCAGGGATGGCCGGGGCTCCTCTCCGACTCTCCGCCCCGCTCTTCCGCTTTCGCTGCGGCTAGCCGTAGCCGGGCCGAATCCCAGCCGAGCCCAGGCACGCGCGGCGCGAGGCTAAGCCAACAAAGGATTTCGGTTCGGCGTGAAAGCCGAACGGGGATCCCACTGCAGTAGTATACACCACCCTGCGTGGCCGGCCGGCCGGTAAATGCTCCCCGACACACGCACCACGAATGGATCACAGGCTACAACGCGCACCCTCTGCACGTCACCGCTAAGCCGTGGGGGCGGCAGTCCGCGCATCGCCTGACACCGCGGGTCCTTGCGAAGCTGCGGGGAAGCGTCGCGCTGTCCTCGCGGGGGTAGTGCGAAGCCACACGACGAGCCGCGTCTTTCAGGGGGCACGTCGCGTGGCCTCGCGGGTCCTCGCTAAAGCCGCGGGGTATGATTGTGGGCCTGGACCACATCCTCCGCGAGGGAGCGTACGGTGTCATCTCGGTGGAGATGTGGAGAAGCGCATCGCGGTCGCGTGGGGCGCGCCCGTGTTCCGGACTGGAACCTCCCTTGGACCCTCGCAGCTACGCCCCGCCCCCACCATCATTCTCAGCGCCTGGTTGCTACGCAACATCTTGCCTGCAGTGCACACGTGTACTGCAGGTTGGCCTACCCCGAGTCTCGCAGGCGCCAAGCCCCCGTAATAATTTATCAAAAAATGAATCTGACAGGAACGGACGCACTTTTCAGATGATCCCTACAGACGGTTTGGTAAAACACACCCACCGCCGAGAGCAAAAGCCGATCCCCCCAAATTAAAATGTAATTGCTTTCGCCACGCGCCCGGCTGCCGCCCGGTTGTGCCCGATATGCTGATAATAAACCAAAATCCGTCTCTAATTACGGATGGCCCGGGCCAGCGTGCGCGCGTACTACACTTCCTCGGCGGAAGAACGGTAACGAGAGTGACGAAACGGAGTGAAACCCCCTTGCCTTCCCTATTTGCGGGGGCGGCCAGCGGAACCCTATGGTCCGGCCGGCGGCCGGCCCGGCCCACCCGCGGCCGCGGACCCGCCCGCTATGGCCGCATATGCCTGCCTCTTGGCCCGGGCCGTGCACCAGGGAAGTCCCGTCTCGCCAGCGGCCCGAGTCCTGCCCGTGCCAGGCGGTACCGACAACCAACGACTGCAAGTTTGGTGCATTCCGGAACAAGTGGTCGTTTCTTTATTTTCTTTGCTCCTCATGGGCATCCTGGTTTTCAAGGGCGTTATTCAGTTCTACACTTGTTCTTTTGAGACCCCCCCCCCAATATGCCACAGTATTAGCTGGACTCAAAACAACACCAGAAAAACAAGCAATGATTAGTCTGCCGTTTATAACTTCAACGAAACGAGACGAGCTCCTTAACAAAAAGCATTACGCACGAGCAATTGAATAGAATGAAAATATAAATTACGGCAACGGGAGGGCTTAAGTCTGCGCCCAAGACACTAATGCTAGCGCACACGCAAGACGTGGCGCGGGCGGGGCGCGCAATGAAGTTCAGTGGCAGCGAACGCGTGACGAGAAAACATTCCAAACGCATTCCGCTTGTGAGAGCCGCGAGGCGGGGATTTTTGAACGGGTATACACACCGGGTGCCGGGTTATTGTCTCCTTCATAGACCACATGAGACGCTCACTCACCTTCCCTTACTGTCGAAACTAGTAGTGTCATCTGATGACATTTGACGTGGTGACAAAACGAAAGTGTCGCCCCTGTGTGCTCCCCCAGGAATGACATCCTGGTATATGATCACTTCCTAACTTTCCAAGGTCACGAGTTTTGCACATATGACGTCATAGGTGATGTCAATGTCAACTGCGTTACAAGGTCCAATCAAAAATCTTTTCCTACGGATCTAACATCAACATTACAAACACAGCAAACATTTTTCCGTGAAGTTCCCGGTTGATTTCGGGAAAGCACTTCCCAGTTCACTTTTCCCGCCTTATATTTTTAGGTTATGTAGGAACTTTTAAGGAAAGAACGCGTATTTGAGTGAATTTTGACGGCAAACCGGTTGTAAAACAAATCTGAGGACGGCCCAGCTTCATTTCTACCAGCGCGGCTCACAAACCATCAAAAAAACAAAATTAGTAAAAAACGAAACTTCGTCATTTTGAGCTCTGCGCATGCGCCAGAGAAAACCGGGATTTTTTCCGGGAACAAACCGGGAACTTCCCGGGAAAATGTTTGCTGTGAAAAGCTATTATGATGTGTCCAAGCCTTTTATCAGTTACACTTTTCCAGGTAAACCCACCAGTGAATCACGTACACACAAGGAAGAGCGTGCCAGTAGGAACGCACAAGGAAGCGTGTGCCTACCAGGTCGACTGTTAGCAATAGGCTAATGTGCCTGCCAGGTGAATTGTTGGCAACAATGGTGCACCTGTCTGCTTCATCCGCTGCCGGCAGCACACACATGCAGAACCGAGGGGAAACGACTGCTAAATATTGTGTCAGCCGGATTACGGATTACCAGGATTACCTCTAAAGTATCCTCCGGATTACGTTGCTTTTTCTCTAGGAGTACCCTGGATTACCCTAAAATTTCCCTGCCTGACCCCAGGATTACTTCGAATTTCCTCAGATTACACCTGCCACCTGCCGGATTACCTAGGCTGTCAGCCGGATTACCTTAGTCGTTTCCCCCTCGTGCAGGACCCGTCCTCTTAAGCACGGCTCGTGCCCTGGCTTCAAATGGGAAATGAAAACTCCCTTGTTTCAGGTGGCAGGGAGAGGGACTAAATGCCTCACGCAGAGGAGGCGATGTCCTGTTTGTTATCCTGCATGGACGCTTTTCCTTCCACAGGGACAGAAAATCAAAGGTATCCCACATTCTGCTCTTCATTGAACAACTGTTGGATTCTTATGGTATTTGCGAAGTAAACAATGAAATGCAATTTTATGTTATTTAAACTCTTACGACAAATATTAAAGATTTCTGACAATAAAAATCAGCTCAGTTAAACGAAATGGTCCCACCTGACCCTGCTCACGCCTCATCCTTCCGCTCTGCTCCGCCCCTCCGCGTCCAATGCCACGGCTGCGGCGCGTGGCGCGTAAGGGTGGGGCGGGGAGGGGTCGGGTGTGGAGGGGTGGGGTGAGCGTACCTTCACAGAGAGGGGGTGCGGTGGGGGGGCTAGTCGGCGAGTCTATCCGGTCATCTTCTGCAGCCAAGCAAATCGAG